TTCATAATTTAACAGAACCAGTAAATTCAAGAGCTGATGGAACATCAAAAATAAGAATATTTTTTCCTAAACACTGTGGGTCTGTCATTTTTGGTTTTTTTAGATATAGTGCAGGGAGCCTAGACAAGAAGCACGAACTCATACGGGAAAATTGACAAAATTTGTCTAAGAAATGGCAGAAGTTGGGGTGGCGCTAGTGTTCCATATGTCCCAAGTGGATGCAGCATAATAAATACGAGTGGAAGTAAGCAAATAACCAATTTTATTTTATAATGAGTTTAGTATAAAAAAAAAGTTTAGTAGTAGTTTATAGATATATCGGGGAGGTATACTAACCTAAAAACTAGAAGTCAAGTCAATAATTATTGATTACAATTACAATTTGTTTTTATAATGGTAAATAAAAAGTTTCGAAAATAATTTAAATATGGTAATAGTTAGTGCTGGCAACTGAAATCGGTTTTTTGGATAGTCGGTTAACCGGTTTCGGATAATTCGGATTTTTACGAAACCCTAAAACAGATTTTCCGAAAACCGTTTATCCGAAAACCGGTTATTCGGTTTCGGATATGTACCAAACCCGAAAACTGGTTATTCGGTTTCGGATAATTCAGATTTTTACGAAATCTGAAAACCGGTTATACGATTCTTCAAATATCCGATTATTCAAATAACCAATTATTCATAACTACATAACACCATAATATAGTTCCTTTTTTTTTAGACATCGATTTGTTCGATTGCAATTGACCTTTTTTTTTTTGGAGATCGATTTGTTTGTAAACAAATTTTACTTCCAGATTTTGTAAAGACCTTTTTTTTAGACATCAATTTCTCCGGGTCTGTCTTTACAAAGCATTGATTTTCAACCACCCGGTTTTGGCGATTCGAGTAACGGATTATTCGAATAACCGGTTTTAGCAACTATTCGACTAACCGATTTTATCTGAAATCGGTTTTTACGGAACCTGGGTAACCGCTTTCACTTTTTTCCGTTTTTTGCCAGCACTAGTAATAGTATGTGAAGTGAATGACTGTCGACAGATTTAAAATAAAACAGTACGTTTGTGATCTGCATTTTCAATCTAATGACGTCCAGCAGTTCTATATTACAACTTGACCGAATAGTGGTTAATATTATGGCAAATGATTGATATATAAAATTTCTCTACCTTATTGAGAATCATTCTCAATAAGGTAGAGAAATTTTTAAATAGAAAGATTTCATAAGTGAAAATATTGTGTATTTGAATGATGCATTGTTTCTTTATATTTCTTGCAGCAGCATCAACAGCACCACCAACAACAGGTGTAGCAGCTACAAGAGCAACAGTTGCAACAACAACAAGAACAGCAAGTAAATCAAGAGCAATTAAGTTACGATGAAATTATACAAGAAAGTGGGCATCCTGTCTTGTATAATGTAATAAAAGAAAAGTTCTGTTGGCGTGTGATGAGGTCTCGACAAAGCAACGATGAATGTGTTCAGAGCATAATATTGACAATAGCAACAAAATATATTTTATTTATTTCTACATATTGTAATTTATATTACATGCATAAATAATTAAATTCGTATCTTTCATATAATTCTTGCTGGTGACATCGTTATTATCATTACTGAATTGAATAAATCATTTCCAATTAGTTGCCGTTTCTTTGCTGTTAGTAAAAAACTGGTTGAAATTCAGATATCATAATTTAAAGAGAGGATACGTGTAAGTAATCGATGGTGATCGATCTGTATTGGTAATTGCAGTGACTATAACAAGAATAAGACAGTCGACGAGGCCAATAGGCACGTACCCGTACAAAGTCGGTGAGTCCGGATGATACTACTAAAGTGTGGTTCAGGAAGTGCTGCACCCTAATGAATTTTCACGCAGCTCGACGTAAGCCAAAGCAGTTCACTGTAGTGCGCGTGCTGTAACTGAACGGCATATCATCAAGGTAAAATCGCACAACGCTGTGTTGCCGCTTACGCGCAAAACAAATTTGAATCTTTCGCGATGATACCGCGGTAATTACGACTACTCGTATCTACCCAATGATCATAGTTACCAAGCAAAGCAGCTTTAATATCTTGATTTTTGAAATAAGCTTTGATTCCAAAACGTATTTTTGCCGTTTTCTGTAAATAACATAAAAGCTTCAAAATGTTGGAAAGTGCAATTACATATTTGTGTTAAGTATTTTTTTATGAAGATTCCGATGATCAAACAAAAAATAGATAGATAGATTAGATTAGAGGACATTTTAACTAAGTAAGTTTTATTATGTAAATTAATACAAACTATTAGAAACTATTACAAACACTACAAATATGAAAAATATTACAAATACCGGATGTCTCCTAAAAAACGCCGCAAGCCATAACTCGGTTATTTATAATCCGATATTAAAAAACGACACAATAATTAAATAAAATGGCAATGTTATAATGGCATTACCTCTCATTGTCACGGCTTACCATATAACATTGTCCATGCGTAATTAGGCCTCCCACGGCCTAATTAAGGAGATTTTGGTAAAATACCCATACGCATTTTGGACCAACTAAATCTGTGGATCCTTACGTAATTGGAAAAAAGGCACAAGTGCTTGAAAGAGGTCTATTTTCTTAACAAAAAAATATTCTTTTCTGTTTTTAATAGTATCTGTCTTATTGTTAGAGATGGACCCAACCACAGTATACTAATAATCCGTAGGGAAAGTTACGTTTCCCGCATCTTCCATATTTCCACCATTTTGTTAGCGACTGACAGTTATTACGATTTCCGTTCTCATATTTTCATTCTTAAATCTAGTATGTTTTCATTATTGTATATCGAGGGCGTCAACGCAGGAACTCGTAAATAACATTTTTGTCTAAAAACAGTTTATTTTTAATTATTTTGTGTTAAGGGGGGCGTTTTTAGGCGCAATTTTCAATGAATTTCTTGTCCAATTGTTTAAAAAATCTAAACAAGTTAGAAACGATAACTCTTCACTGTACTACTCATGCAAGTGTTCTTCAGGGTGTGAGATAACTGACAACACATTTTAAGTAAGAAAAAAAAAACATATTTTTTTATCTTACGTTTCCTGAACTTTCCACGACTGTTGAACATACAGATAAAAGCGTACGGTATTATAAACATACCCACACCCAGCAGAATGCTTTTAGGATACTATTTATACATGAATTAAAAAGAATTATTGAGTAGTTTTATAAATCAATTGGACAAAACAGGAAAGGTACGTGTTCTGATATTTTATATTATCCGTCATCTTTTCATGCCGAGCAATTGAAGAAATCCTTCGTATTTCAAC